AAATATATCCAATGCAGTTCTTTCAGTTTCATTATTTGCAGTATTTATACGAATTAAAATAACGATTTGATCATTAAGCACTTTATAGAATCTATTATTTGAACTTAAACGAGAACGATTTATTGGCACTTTAACAGAAAGTTCATTCAATAAAGGATAAAAGTATGCTGATTGATTTAAGAACTTTTTGGATGCATCTACAGTAAGGTGTACTGAACCCGTAATGGCTTCGTCTACACAGAAATATAATGAGAATAATGTGAAATAAATAGCTATAAGAATAATGCGCGCTACCTGGGTATATCTTCTGATTATCTAAGTCATATCAAAACCAAAAAAAGATAAAGCGAATAATAAAATTCCAAACCAAATTCAAAATATACACTAAAAATATTACCTGATTTAAGAATCCAAATACCATCATGAATTCCTTTTAGAGGTGCATTAGTATCCATGACAAAATTATTATCCATCGTCACAAAATATTGTTCGCCATACTCGTTGAATGTGCTTTTAATGACTGTTATACTAAGAAAGCTTGTAAAATAAATCCTATCATAACTGATATTACAGAACTCATGCATTGTTGCAGAAATTCTTTGTCTAATGCTGTTATCGGAGGCTTTGTAGATAGTGATGTTGCCGGTTGACAAAGTAACCGTATCATTGATGGTGATGTTTAGGGTAGTTATTGACGAATTTACAACAGCATTGATTGGTGGAATGGTTTTGATTATAATAGGATTATCATAGCCAGAATCTAAATGGATGGAATATTATAATATTAATATTAGTGAAAATTAAATTTTATATTAGGAATTAAATACAGTAAATATACTCAACCATTAATATAATCAGGTAAAGGTAACGGAATAGTGAGCAAAGACCAAGAAGTATTATTATTTGTATAGGGTGAAGCGAGTAAAAAAGTATTATTATTCATAATAGTATTTACACCAAAATAATTTGTAAGAAAAGGTCCTGGTGACTTTAAAGAAATTTGAGAATTATAATAATAATCATAAGCATAAACATAATAATAAGTATTATTATCATTATTATCATAAGCTGTAAGACCTAATATATAACTACAGAATGGCATTATTTTTGCACTCCAACTTTGCTGGTATAGTCCTGTTACATTAGGGTGTTCGTAAATTATATTCATTATTAGTACTGCACCTACTGAATCGAGTTCGATTTCTAGATAGTGCAGTGTATTCTTGCTGTTGACGGAAACTATACAAATAATAACTCCATAACATGAATTATCACAGTAAACTGAGTTAATTGTTATATTAGGTTGTGTTATATAAATCTGTCTTTCTGGATTATAATGAGACTGATTGTAGGGTATAAATGAAGTGTAAAGCCCACCAAGTGGAAGTAACAAATCGCTGTTATATTGTGTATCGTTTGAAACCGCTATATATCCATTATCAACAGTGGAAATTATCGTGACAAGAGAATAATTATAAGAGAAATAATCGATAACACTAAATTTATACAAATTTCCAGAATCATCACTATATGTTTTAATATTAAAATGTAAATATAATAACGATATAATTATAACTAATAAAAATAAATATTAGGAAATTTAAATTACATTAAATATTGCTGCCACCCCCATAGCGAACCTCCCTGGTCAATACCAAATCTAATAAACCCATTCTTGTTTATATTTAACTGAATTGTATTGTTAATCCAAACACCCAAAGACATTTTACTGGTAATTTACAGATTGAACATTAATAAAATAAAAATATTGAAGATAGTTTAAGTATACCTTTGACTATTTCCATTCCAATCGATAACATTCGCCCACTCTTCATAAGTTGTAAGTTCAGAAGAATTTGTAGTGTTAATATAAGTTATTAGAATGAACTGTTTTTGTAAAGGATATATCGAAATAGGATTTATAATATTATGCAATATACTTGTGTTGTTCTTTTTAGTATCTTTCAAATATATCAATATATTATTATGTTTGTTAATTTTATATTCTGTATTATTGAATAAACAATAATTCACAGGATCTAATTTTAAATCGGGATCAATCTCTTTAACAGTTCTATTTAAATGAATAATTCTTATACGTAATTTCGGTTCTAAACTCATTAAACAATCGATGTTTAATTGTGTTGAATAATTTCGTATAACATGAACGAGAATTGTTCCGTCATCATAAGATTTAATGTCAGCTATAAGTGGTGGTGTGTCTTGTGTTTCTAATGTACTCTCCGTGTAGTTAAATGACTGTTGTGATTTCGTTAATGTTATGATTAAACAAAGTAATAAATACTGTGCTATAGGTTTATAAGTTATTTTCATCGCGAATTACTTTTATTTAAAAAAGTTGAACTTTAGAATATCGAATATCGAATAGATGCATATAAAATTTACGTTTTGCGCCACTTGTTACCCTAAATGGACTCCTTTAGCTTGTTTATAGAATAATGTCATTAAAGAAAATACAATGAACGATAATAAGATATTTGCCAATTTTATTTTCAGTATACAGTTCAATATTAGGGTCTGGATAAATTATGATAAAACTTTGTGAGATATATCTTTTTTACTAGGACACAATTTATGTTACACCTGATCTCGTGTTTATACAGTAGACGAAATATTATTTTTGCAGACAAAAAAAGTAAATCCAACCTGAAATAAAACTTTAATTATAGGAAAGTTATTGATTACTATTTTTATTTTAAAATTCAATCCTTGTCACAATGTATTTTTCTTTTTGGATTTGTATCACTTGCACAAATAAATGGCGTACTGTTACGTTGACTTTCATTCCCTCCTTAAGATAAAATGATAAAAAAAAGCCGACGTAGAGAAAAAGTATATTAACAGGTACTCACGAACTGCTTATCTATATCACGTCAGGATTATATTAGAATTACCAAGGAAATATATTACGAAATTATCCTTGCCGATCAAGGATATTTAACCTAGAAACTCTTAGATATATGACAATACTGACGAGGGTCCTTAAAGCGGGGTAGATTATGCGATAATCAACCAATCAAATCGCGAAAATTTGATAAACCCGACGAAGAAAAACAAGCGAAAAATGCGAAAAATATAACAGCAGTCTGTATCCACTCTGGTGCATTAATAAAAAATGTCGGGAAGCCAATTTTACCTATACGTATAAATAATCCTTAATGAAAAACGCTTTATGCGTTTAAAGAAACTCGCATATCTGCACAAAATTAGATAGCATAAAGGTATTTTATTGGCTAGCAGTCATCATCATTTATATTACACGAAAATAGTGTTTCACAGACGGAATGTATCAAATCGGCCGAAATTTGAGGAAATTAGATTATTGAATTTAATCAATTAGCTGTATTATAATTATAAATCGCTTGTGTTTATACAGTATATAAGTTGGATAAAATATCAAATATTTGCCGTTCGTTAATTTAAACTAAATTAAATTTTGGTCCAATGTATACAATATTTGGTGCGAATAAATGATGAGATTAATGGAAAGTTTATAGTTCACACGTTACGGAGTATCGGTCTTTATCTACTGTAATACCCGATACTAATCAAATATTAGGAAAGTTAAATTACATTGACCACCAATACCAAATCGAGTCAAAATCAAATCTAATGAATCATTCTTGTTTATATTTAACCGAATTGTACAGTTAATCCAAATACCAAAGACATTTTACTAGTAACTTACAGATTGAATATTAACAATCTTAAAGATCAACAGTCACTCTGCATTTCCCCGGTGCCGGGTGACCCACGCAAGAGAAAATTTTCGGCAAAGGTAACGCACAGAAGCCAAAAGATACACCACCCACAAGGGCGAGTGCCCTTGTACCAAGGAAACGCAAGTATCCGTACATATGTGAGGAGACAACAAGCCGTAAGATAGGCAGAACGCGAAGTGACAGAACACGTAGCAATAACAAAGAGAACCAAGTACAGCCGGTGAAAAATGCAACTAGAGAGCAGAACAAGGCTGTTAGCAAACAAATTCTAGTGCAAAGCACGCCAAATACAATGAACTTAAACTGGTCAGATGAAATAGAATGGGAAAATGAGAAAGAGGCCTCCTTCTCTCTGGATATTAACACTAATGCGGTCCTGAAAAATTCTTTGGAAAACCAAGAGAAAAAAGCCTAAGAAATTTCCGGAGATATAGATCATAATGATAATCATTCAGATGAACATCTTTCAGATAATGACATATCAATCGAAGAGTTACCTCTAAACCAGCTATTAGAAACTGAGGCTGTATAAGATGATAAGGTAAACTCTTATATTACAAATGAATACCAAAATCCTTTGTCTGTAAAAACTCCAAAGCTGTGTTTGAAACTCTTTACAAAATTTTCAAAGGGACAAGCCACTTATTCTACATTTTCTCCTTGAAGGAGTATCAGCACAAAGAACGACAATGCATTTATTTTGAGATTCATAATCTCTACAATATCTCAACTAATGAAATTATTACAGCATTACATAGTAAACTAGGTTCGGACATCTTAGGAGCAATTCCACACTTCACTAAAGGAACCTGTTCACACTTAAAGATAATTTTCGAAAACGAGACAAAGATGAAAGAATATGCAACTGAGGGGATTACGTTGTTCAATAAAACTTATTATAGGTATATCT